AGTGCCTTTGTTAAACATCTTGCCTTTGAAAATGCTAACCCGGCATGTCAAGATGTCCTCCGGCCACATAAAAACAAGGGTGACCTCTCTGAGTTCGTCAGGCTTTGTGCTGGAGTAGGGACCACTCATGCCATGGGGCTCAGTGCTGCCTTTACCAAGGCATTTCAGTCCCCAGGTTGTAAACAACCTGGTCACTTTGCACGTGAATGTCCCTTCGGCAAACAAAGCCAAGGGGCAGTGCCCTCCAAAGCTACAGGTAGACCACTCCCTGCCACTCATTGTCTTTTAGATCAAGAACAAGTGGCCCCAAGGTGGCTGCCAGAACGCTTGATTAAACATGTGAATGGCTTATCACAACCCAGGGGAAACCTTCCCCCTCCCCCCCCATGATGCCTTTTCTCTTACAGATGCAGCTAGAACTCCAGACGTGGACCTTCCTGTTTGAATTTATTAAATAACAGATTAATCTCTTGGCTTCTAAGCCCATACAGGTTCATCACCATCGCCTTGATATGGCAGACCATGGCATTGAGATCTAGGATTTACCCCAGGCTTTTAATTAGTGTTTTGCCATGTGGGAAACACCCCCCCCCCTTCCTTTTTCTTATTTAGAAAACCCTTCCATAACTCCTGACCATTCAACGGGCAAGACCTATTGTGCCCTTGCCATAAGGGATAATAGGTTCGCCCCTCCTCCTATAGGCTCCTCCGCTTGGGGGAGGATGCACCTATGGGAGGAAGAAAAAATGCTCAAATCAAGGGTGCAGGTAAGACTGCAGGGGGATGGATCCGCGAGATCCCAAAACCCAAGACCCCTGAGTGGCAAGCTCTGGTGCATGACGGTTGGCATGCATACCCACAAGCCGTCTCCTCAAAAAACATGCCAAGGCCTGTAAAACTCCCCTCCCCGAGTGAGGACGCTCTCCCCGAGTGAGGACGCTCGCTCGGGAGCGGAGAAAAACCCTGGGCCCTTAGCGGAACAGAGCCTCTGTCATCCCCTTAAAAAGAGCAGCCAACAATTGATGGTCAATTTTCTAAATAAGAAAGGGGGAGATGTTGGGAGCCAAAAGTTAAGTCTCTCAACATAATAGGCTTAACTATCTCACTGGACCATCTTTAGGATGAGTTTACAGAATCCCACCTTTTCACCACGCCCTAAGTAAACACCCTGCAGCTACTAAAGACCACCTTTTCACCACGCCCTAAGTCCAAGCATATAAATACCCTTGTGTGAAAAATAAAAATTGGCAGCTTGATCAGAATCCTTGTCTTGCTGTCCTTCGTGTCTCTTGTCCCTTCATTCCTTCTCCCTTAGGTTCACTGCCCTTGTTGAAGTCCTGCAGGTCGGGACAATACTGGCAAAGTTTTGGATGTTGGAGAATTTTAGATTTCTTTTTTATTTTTTTGGTCAGGTCATGAGGCCTGAACTCTCGGCCTGGGTGCTGTCCCTCAGCTCTTCAGCTCAAGGCTAGCGCTCTACCACTTGAGCCACAGCGCCACTTCCGGCTTTTTCTTTTTTTTTTTTTGCTTATGTGGTGCTGAGGAATCGAACCCCGGGCCTCAAGCATGCAAGGCAAGCGCTCTACCACTGAACCAATTTCCCAGCCCTGATTTTAGATTTCTTAGATAAGGGATGCTTAACTTGTAATGAGCTGGGCACTGGTGGTTCTCACCTGTAATCCTACTTAGGGTGGGGGTTGGAGGCAGAGATCTGCGGATTTCAGTTCCAAACAAGTCGGGGCAAACAAATCCAAGGGACTCATCTCCAATTAACCAGCAAGAAACCGGAGGTGGAGATGAAGTGGAGCGCCAGCCTCCAGTGGAAAAGCTAAGGGTCCGCTCCCCCGGGCCGGGGGGGGAGGCCGCGGGAGCCATGCGGGACGTGCCCCGCGCAGGCCAGGCCCTCGTCTCAACCTGCCCAACGGCAGGGCAGGCGTATCTCTCCCGGACTGGGGCGGGCGGGCGGTGGAAGGAGCTTTGGGAAATTCCGAGGACCAGGGAAGGGCCTTCGAAGGCTCCAGATCCTTCCCCAAGGTGCCAGACAGCCCCTCCTCGTCCCTCCTCCCCAAGGCCCCACTCCGGGGCGTCGGGGCGGGCGCCTCCGCGCAGTGCCCGCCGCCGCCGCGGGACGCCGCTCCCACCGCGCCCGCCACGCGTCGGGTCACGTGCTCCGGGCCCGCCCGCCATCTTCCAGGACCACGTGCCCAAAAAAGGCGGGAAAGTGAAACGGCGAGAGAACCGGCCCGGGCTACCCCACTTATCTCCTCCCGCCTCGCCTCCGCCGCAATCCGGGCATCCCCTCAGTCACCTTTCGCCTTGAGGGACGACCACCCCGCGGCGGTTCTCACTGTGGCTCAGGTTCACCGCCATCTTGCTCCGGCCCCTCCCGCCGCCCCTTGGATGGGAAGGGGAGGGACCGGAGCTAAGGCAAGGGGCGGGGCCAGGAGAGGGGCGGGGATTATGGCGCAAAGGCTGCCGTGAGTGGGCGAGGCCGCTGTCACGTGAAATTTAGTGGGTCCCGCCCCCGGATGGGGAGGGCCTAATAGGTAGGTGAGAGGTGCCTCTGGCCTGCTTCCTTCGGGCTTTTCCAGGGATTGTCACACCTGGGTAGCGACGCCATGCGGGCCAGGAAGCTGCTTTTAGAGACAAGATCAGTTTGTTTTGCTTTTCCAAAGATCAGCAGAGCTTTCCTCCAGAGAAAGCTTGGATCTAGATCCAGAGAAGGACCTGTGGAAGTGGGTCGTCCGACAGTGGAAGGCGAATTTCCACCGAGCGCAGAGAGCCTGTGATGGCCATCATTCCTGCTCTGCCTCCCCTAAAAGGGGACTGTGAGCATCCAGAGGGATCCACTCACCAGAGTTGCTCTGAAGAGTAGTGTGCGTCCTAATTGCCCTTAAACCTCACAAATACTAGAATAAAGGGACGCAGATACCTTGATTACCGTGTTTCATGAATTCAAGATGTTGTCAGTTACTAACGTACCAGCGAAGGGAAAATGTTGTCAAGTAAACCGACATGCTACTAGTCATAAAATACATCCTAATTTCAATTTTTCCCCCCAAATACAAACACAAAATAAGTAGTGTTATTGTGTACTGGACCATGCACTGAGATCTAGTCTCCATACTGCCAGGCTAAGGATTATATTCTCTAGATCAGTTTCCTAATCTGTACCATGGTATTGAACTTGAAGAGCTCTTAGCTTTCTTTGGCTGTGATATTTTATATCCACCAAACTACACTCCCAGTCATTTTTTGCTATCTGTCTTGTGTCACCATTCTATTTCCATCTTCATTATTTTGCTTGACTCACAAGAACCTTGTGACTCATCTTTCTCCAATTCCAACCCCTCTGAACCTTTTTTTTTTTTTGGGTCAGGTCGTGGGGCCTGAACTCTGGGCCTGGGCGCTGTCCCTCAGCTCTTCAGCTCAAGGCTAACCTCTACCGCTTGAGCCACAGCGCCACTTCCGGCTTTTTTCTTTATGTGGTGCTGAGGAATCGAACCCAGGGCCTCAGGCATGCAAGGCAAGCGCTCTACCACTGAGCCACCTTCCCAGCCCCTGAACCATTTTTTTTTTTTAACCATACCTCGTACTCACTGCAAATATATGACACGCTCAATTTCAGAAAAATAGTATACAGATGAAAATTATGTTGTTTGATGGTTACCAAAGTGAGTGAACCTCTTAAGAAGAGAAGTACTGGCTTAAATTCAAGGAGGATACAAGTTAGTGTTTCAGTATAAATTCTTTTTTTAAAATATTCATTGTAAAATAGCTTTCTGGTCCACTTTTTTTTTTCTCCACAGAACTGGTCCTTATGCATTCAGGAGAGAAAGTGGAGGGCAAGGAATTTCATTAAACATCATTTTTCATGGAGAAAGGCAAAACCTAGAAAATATGAAGTCAAGTGTGATAACATTCATTTGGGATACAGAATCCTGAGAAATAATGACTGGAATCTGACCTTAGGCTACATTGCAATGAACTGATCTCATAAAGTGCTTCCATCTCTAATAGCTGTGGCTTTTTTTTTTTTTCCTGGTAGTACTGAGATTTAAACTCAAGACCTCATCATACATGCTAGGTATGTGCTTTACCACTGGGTCATGCTTCCATTCCTTTTTTACTTCGGTTATTTATTTATTTATTTAGCTGTTTCTAGGGCTTGAACTGAAGGCCCTGGCACTGTCCCTGAGCTTCTTTTGCTCAAGGCTAGTGTACTACTTCCAGCTTGTTCTGAGTAGTTTATTGGACATGAATTTCATGGACATTCCTTCCTAGGCTGGCTTCAAACCTCAGTCCTCCAACATAGCCTCTTGAGTAGCTAAGATTATACACACGAACCAACAACACCTAGCACTCTGGTGATTTGTTGTTTTGTTTTGTTTTTTGTTTTTTTGTCAGTCATGGGGCTTAAACTCTGGGCCTAAGTACCATCCCTGAGCTCTTCAGCTCAAGGTGAGTGGTCTACCACTTGAGCCACAGCCACTTCAGGCTTTCTGGTGGTTAATTGGAGGTAAGAGTCTCACAAACTTTTCTGCGTGGACTGGCTTTGGACTGCAAACCTCAGATTTCAGCCTCTTTGAGTAGTTAGAATTACAGGCGTGAGCCACTGGCGCCTGGCCACTCTGGTAATTTTTGAAATAGGATCTTGCTTCCTGCCTTGGCTGCACTCCTGGACCATGGTCCACCTATTTTAGGCATCCCTTAGAAGTTGGAATGACAGTGCAGCACACCATCCCACCCAGCATCTTTCTACTATTAAGATGGAGTCTTAATAATAGAGTGGGCAAATTCACTCTTCCATGAGATTCTCCTGATCTCAGCCTCTCAGGTAGCTAAGATTACAGGTGTGAGCCATCAGCACCGGCTAATATCTCTTACTACTTCTTTCTTCTCCAGCTCAGCCCCATCCTCTTAAGTGAGATGATAATAACTAATTTGATCAAGGAGTAAAGAACACAAATAAGTCCAAAAAGAAAAACAAAGCAGGCAGCTATAGTTCAAACAGCAATATTTAGTTATACAACACATAAAGTCTAGCAACATTTACATGGCCAGTTTGAAGTTTCTGTTGCTTTGTTTTCCATTGGGGAATTTCACCAGAATGTCACCAAAAGCTTGGCTGGGGACTGGTCATTTTCAGAAATGGGTCGTTCTTGCCTCCCCTAGGCTTGGGCCTCTTGTTCCATGAAGACTTGGTTGTAGACAAAATGAACCATGTGTTCACCAGCCTCTGAAGCAAGTTGTGTCAAGGTGGAGTTGTGGGGGAGGGGGGAGCAGTTTGGGCAAGGGTTCTAAAAAGACAGTGTAGGCAGTGGCAGCCAACATTCACAAACATTCATGCATCTGATGGGGGGGGGGGCTTTGCCCTCCATGGGTATTTTCCATTAGCCAACAGTGACCACCTGTGGCCAGGCTAACGGAGGAGGTGGGGGAGGGGGAGGGAAATTATAGTAGTAAGGAAAATGATAAAGATCCTCTTACTGCTAAATGTATGTGGGTGCTATTTTTCTTTCTTTGTATTTTTGTGAATTTCTGCCATTTCATAGGTCTAGTTCCTCCTTTTTTTTTTTAGTTTGCGAAATAAGGAAGTCAACTTCAGCAATCTCTCTTTGGGCAACCCCACTCTAAGTGTTCACACTATGTGGTGAGGAGGGTGTGTTCCCTCACACTGGGTTAGCCCCTGCTCCCCAGCAGCTGGAGTAATCCATCCTGATAGGCAATGAAGGCAAGCCCTCATCCCACATGGGGTGCATACAGCTGATCTCAACGAGGCTGATAAACATGAAAGTTGCTGACTTTAAGTTGCCTTTAAGGAAGCCAAGAGTAGCTCATGCAGATGAATGAATAGCAGCCATGCTGTCCCTATGCCCGCCCCAGGGGAGCCCGTTACAAGTAGCTGGTTTGGGTTTGCAAAGGCAGAAGCAGCTCCGGGTGAGTTCATTCTCCCTACAGATGACCTGGGACCAGCAGACAGAGACGATGGAGCAGGGCAGTGCAGGCAGGCGGGCGAGAGCAAGAACTCCACTCCACTGGGAGGAGGGGGGTGGTTTGGCCAAAGGAGGAAACACCCGTCCAAGAGAGGCAGCTGGCCCCTCCCACCGGACTGAGAGGGGCGGGGACAGAGGTGGGCGGGACAGCACAGCGCTAAAAGGGGCTTGGTCTGCAGCAGTAACAGCTGAGAGAATGGAGGGAGAGGCGGCGCTTGGAAGGGCCTTCATTCAGCAGAGGGGCAGGGGGTGGCTGGCACAGGTGGAAGCACAGTGCCCAGGACGCCTTCTCCCTGCAGGGCGGAGGGGGAGGGGGAGAAAGGTTGAGGGTGCGGCGGCCAGCAGCTGGCAGAAGACCCATAAGACAGCTTCTCCAGGGAGACTGAGGCTAAGGTTTCGGGGTGCCAAGCACCCTTCTCCTAACTCAGCCTCTCCCAGCGCCCACCACCCTCACCCCTTGAGGTTCTCCTTCATGGTCCTACATGCCCAGTCGTACATCCCCAAGACTACTTGCTCTTAGGAGATAAGGAACCCTCGGTGGTTGCAACGTAGCAAGGTGGGAGCCTGCCAGGCGCCAATCCTGGGAGTCACTGTCTGGGTAAAGGAGAGCAGGAGCTGGGTAAATCAGGCTCCAGGAAAAGATTGAGACTACACAATAAGGAGCACCGGTGAGCTGGTCACTTCTCTTCCTCCTTCTTCACTGACCAGCATCGTCAGTGTCTACCTTTTCCCCCTAGCACCTGAACGGTAAGGGACTGGGATTATAAAAGCTGGCATTCAGAGAGGCCCAATTTAGGATGAACTAGGAAGCTAAATTGTTTTCCCAGCCTTACATTTCAGTAATCTTATAGGCCAAAGGAAAAAGGGGGTAACTTATTTGGGTAATACACAGTGGGAGTATTTACATTCATAAATACAGGGATCGTGGGAAAGGCTGAGTGTGTGCTTCCGGTGTCCTGGAAAACATGTGTGGGAGGAAGGGGTAGTAGGGAAAAGCAGTCAGACAGACAGACATGAAGGGAATTCACTTCAGCACAAAAGCAAAAAGGAGGGACATGTGTGCAGCTTAATGAGGGACGAAAAGAGAAAAGGGAAATGTGGTTAAAAATGTGTCTCTGGCCGGGCGCCGGTGGCTCACACCTGTAATCCTAGCTATTCAGGAGGCTGAGATCTGAGGATCACAGTTCAAAGCCAGCCCAGGCAGGAAAGTCCATGAGACTCATCGCCAATAAACCAGTAGCAAACCGGAAGTGGCGCTGTGGCTCAAGCAGTAGAGCACTTGCCTTGAGCTGAAGAGCACAGGGACAGTGCCCAAGCCCAGAGTTCAAGCCCCACGACCGACCAAAAAAAAAAAAGAAAAAAAATGTGTCTCTGGCTGGGCACGGGTGGCTCATGCCTGTTATCCTAGCTACTCAGGAGGCTGAGATCTGAGGATTGTGGTTCAAAGCCAGCCTGAGCAGAAAAGTTCATGGGACTCTTTATCTCCAGAAAACCAGAAGTGGCATTGTGGCTAAAGTGGTAGAGCACTCACCTTGAGCTGAAGAGCTCAGGGACAGCGCCTAGACCCAGAGTTCAAGCCCCATGACCAATTAAAAAAAAAAAAGTGTCTCTGAAGCCAAACCACTAAGAGTAATGCTATACCTCATTTCCAATAGTTTTTCTGGAAACTTATGTCCCCAAAAAACTGTCTCTTAACCTGCACATATGCTTCCTGAACAGGGTACTGGGAACTGGGTAACCCCAGATTCCATCTTGCCTTGGCACACTCCAAGGTCAGGGTCAGTTCTAGCACTCAGCTCCAGAACCTTTCTTACTCTTGTCTACCTCTGTCTTTTCATGAAATCTCAGTTTATCACTGTCCAGTTTGGTTGCAATTTTGGTTCAGGATAGCCGAAAGTCGTGTTTTGGAAATAGACTGGGCATAAATTCTAAATATGGCGACAAATCTTACGTGGGTTAGTCTAAAAGGAAGCGAATGATGGCAGAGACAGGCAGGAAGAAGGAACAGATGAATACATGAATATATGAATGCATAAACAGATGAGGGAAGGAGGGAGAAAGCAGAGGCAGACAACTGGCCCCAGCGCAGAGGCAAGGCAAGCGTGGAAAGCAGCGGTTTGCAGTGGCAACAGGTGGTACGTTGCTTTGGGACAGTGACCTTGACATAGACCAAAGCACTAAGTCCTTCTTCGAGAACGAAGCTCAGGCGGGCTTCTCCGCAGCCGGTGACCTTCCTTTTCATCGCCTCAAGAAAGACCTGACCTCACCCTGGACCAGCCCCACTCACAAGGAAGAATGTCTTGAAGTCACCCTGCACCCCAGCTAGCTCAGCCACCTATCCTTAGAAAATCTTTGTCAGCCCCATTCTGAGTGGGGCTAGAGGTAAGGAGTTGCCTGTGGCGTCCCTGCCCCCATCATTTTCAAATAAAAGCTCCCCTAGAACCTCTGGACTGGGGCAAAGGGCTTTGTTCTGAGGTACAAAGAGAGGAGACAGAGGATGGACAGGCATGGGGGAACCAGACTTACAAGGTAGGGCAATGAAAATACCCCATCCCTAGCACACACACCCACACATGCACGCACACACACACACATGTACAGGCTTTCCTCATATACACACATGCATGCACACACATACAACGTACACAAGACACTCCACAAACAGGCCTGTGGGACAGGGCTGAAAGGAAGGTGGGAGGTGGTATTTGGGGTATGCGTGTGTGTGTGTGTGAAGTGAGGTGTGTGTGATGACACAGAGAAGGAAGGGGTCTCATGGGTTACTGTCGTGGCTTTCCTCTGTGTCCACGCTCACCGGAGGGAGGCCTCCATTGTCATTGAGCCTCTTGGCCCTGTAAGTCTCATAGTGGATGTTGTGTGTCACTTCCTTGAGGTCCTGGAGGTGGGTCCTGGAGGACACGGGTGAGAAGACAGGGGATGCGATTAACGGCAAGCAGAGGAAGAGGTGACTGGCCTGTGAAGCTAGGTCACGCGCGTGGACTGGGCCCCGTATGAGACCCACTCCAGACGGCCAATGATCATCCCATAGCCCCTTCTGCTGGTACTGAGGCAGAAAGCGCCATCAGAGACCTGGAGAATAAACCAAATGCTGGTCCTCACGCCTGTAATCCTAGCTACTCAGGAGGCTGAGATCTGAGGATTCCAGTTCAAAACCAGCCTGGGCAAGAAAGTCCGTGAAACTCTTATCTCCAATAAACCACCAGAAAATCAGAAGTGGTGCTGTGGCTCAAGTGATAAAGTGCTCGCCTTAAGCTAAAGAGCTGAAGGACAGCACTCAGGCCCAGAGTTCAAGCCCCATGACTGACAAAAAAAAAAAAGGCTGAGATCCTCAGAAAAGTCCATGAGACTCTGATTTCCAGAAACCACCAAGAAACTGGAAGTGGAGCTGTGGCTCAAGTGATAGAGCAGCACTAGCTTTGAGAGAAAAAGCTAAGAGAAAGTGCTGCCAAGACCCTGAGTTCAAGCCCCAGTACCAGCACACGAGAGAGGAGAGAGAAGAGAGAGGAGCCGGGCGCTGGTGGCTCACACCTGTAATCCTGTCCACTCAGGAGGCTGAGATCTGAGGATCACAGTTCAAAGCCAGCCTGGGCAGGAAAATCCATGAGACTCTCATCTCTAATAAACTACTCAAAAAAGCCAGAAATTGCACTGTAGCTCAAGTGGTAGAGCACTGGCCTTGAGTAGAAGAAGTTCAGGGTCAGTGTCCAGCCCCAGAGTTCAAGCCACAAGACCCCTCCCCCCAAAAAAAGAGGACAGAGAAGAGAGAGAGGAAGTAGAAGAGAGAGAGGAGAGAGGAGAGAAGAGGAAAGAGGAGCGGAGAAAGAGACCTGGAGTGTCAGAAGTGTGAGCGGATGGTCCCCAACTGAAATCATGAGCCTGCAGTCCAGACAGGGGAGGGAAGATGTCTCACCTGATGACGAAGTCTCGAAGCAGGGCAAACTCACAGTGGCTGAGGTTTTCCACTATGAACGAAACAAGAGAAAACAGGTGGTCATTTCATAATGCTACAACAGGAGGCGGCTTCTGTGTGGACCACAGAGGCGTTTAAAGAGAACAGGGACAGCTTATTGTGTAACCCCTCAGGAACCCCTCAGGAAACTTACTTTTTTTTTTTGGGTCCGGTCGTGGGGCCTGAACTCTGGGCCTGGGCGCTGTCCCTCAGCTCTTCAGCTCAAGGCTAGCGCTCTACCACTGGAGCCACAGCGCCACTTCCGGCTTTTTTCTGTTTTGCTTATGTGGTGCTGAGGAATCGAACCCAGGGCCTCAGGCATGCAAGGCAAGCGCTCTACCACTGAGCCACCTTCCCAGCCCTCAGGAACCTTACTCACGCTTTGGAACACTAGAGTTTGTGCTTTGTGTTGGAGGTGCTTGAACTCAGGGCCTGGTGTACTCACGCGTGTGTGTATGTATGTGTGTGTGTGTATGTGTGTGTGTGTGTGTATGTGTGTGTGTGTGTGTGCGTGTGTGTGTGCACTCTTCCTTCGATTTCTCTGCTCAAAGCTAGTGCTCTACTACTTGAGCCATACCTCCACCTTTTGCTAGATAACTGGAGATAAGAGTCTTTCAGATTTATCTGCCCAGGCTGGTTTTAATCTGTCATCCTTGGATCTCAACCTCCTGAGTAGACAGGATTACAGGTGTGAGCCACTGGCACCCAACTGGTGCAGTAAATGTTATTCATTGAAGAAATACTTAAGCAGCTGAAATGGCATGGTGTTATACTATTGTACACTTGGTGAAACAGTAGTAATAGAAAATGTCCTTTTTATCATTTACAAAAGAGAAAACGAGCTGGGAGCCAGTGGCTCACGCCTGTAATCCTAGCTATTCAGAAGGCTAGATCTGAGGATCGCGGTTCAAAGCCAGCCCAGGCAGGAAACTCCGTGAGACTCTTATCTCCAATAAACCACTAGAAAACCGGAAGTGGTGCTGTGGCTCAAGTGGTAGAGCGCTCACCTTGAGCTGAAGAGTACAATGACAGCGCTCAAGCCCCGAGTTCAAGCCCCAGAACCAACAAAAAACAGAGAGAGAGAGAAAAAAAAAAACCAACAAACATTCAGAGAGTTGAACTTGCCAAGACCTAATGTATAGTTTCTAATCTAAGTGAAAGTAGGATGAAGAGCTGGGTACAGTTGCACCTGCCTGTAATCTCAACTACTCATGAGGCAGAGATAGGAGGATCCGGATCTGAGGCCAGCATGGGTAAAATATTAGACCCTATCTCAAGAAACACGTAGGACATGGTAGTATATTCCTGCAATCAGCCAAAAAAGATCTGGGGATGTGATTCAAGGGGTAGAGTGTTTGTCTAGTAAGCAAGAGGCCTTGAGTGCAAATCTCCATATTGAAGACAGAGACAGAGAGAGAGAATTTAACACAGGGTCATCTTTAAAAAGTCATATGCTACATGGTACATGGAAAATCCAATTCAACATAGATGGAGTACTCACATTTCCTAAACCATTTGCTAAGAATTGTGGGAACAGAAGACAATTAAGACATGTTTCTGTGGTCTTACAAGGGGTACACACATTCTTAGAAATAACTCCATTTCAAGGAAAACAAGGGGGAAAAAATATTATTTTTTAAAATCCCAGGGCACACTGGGTGCTGGAGACTCATGCCTACAATCCTAGCTATTCAAGAGGCTTACACCTAGAAGATAAGAGGTTTAAAGCCAGCCTGAACAGAAAACAAAATTCTGCAAGACACCATCGCCAAGTAACCAGCAAAATGATGGACTGAAGGCATGGCTCAAGTGGTAGAGCTCCAGCCATGAGCAAGAAAGCCAAGCAAGAGTGTGAGGGGGGCTGGGAAGGTGGCTCAGTGGTAGAGCACTTGCCTTGCATGCTTGAGGCCCTGGGTTCGATTCCTCAGCAGCACATAAGCAGGGAAAAAAAAAGCCGGAAGTGGCGCTGTGGCTCAAGTGGTAGAGTGCTAGCCTTGAGCTGAAGAGCTGAGGGACAGCACCCAGGCCCAGAGTTCAGGCCCCACGACCAGACACCCCCCCCCCCCAAAAAAAAAAAAAAAAGAGTGTGAGGCCCCATGGGTTCCAGCCCCAGTACTGGCACAAATATAAAGTTCCTTCCAGGCAGAGTCTGGCTGGCATGAATTATGTACTGTGCATCCCAGGACAGGACCTTGACCTGCTGATGCGTTCTTAATACCTGGTTGCTGAGTACTTGATCAGCAGCCAGTTCTTCCGTAAGCTGCAATGGATTATTACCTTCGATGATCCCCCAGGGAGTTTTTCTGCCAAGGACCCTCTTGCCATTCACCTGGTACTCCTTGTCACTTCCCACCACAGCGAAAGGCATGCTCTCCTGCTGAATGGGGACAGAAACAAACCAGACACACATGTGCAGTCATCTTCCTTTGACCTGATCATCCAAGAGCAGGACAGTAAATGGTGCCAGAAATCTCACCTTGACCTATACCTATATGCAGTGACAGAACTGGTGGCAGGGGCCAACCTCTGTTCCTTGAAAGGAGCACTGGAATGGGAGTCAGGATTCTTGGATACAATCCTGATCACTGCCTGGCTGGTTAACTTCACTGAGTCAGCTTTCCTTCAAACTATCGTTTGGTTTTTGGTTGTGTGTTGGTTCTAGGGCTTACACTCAAGGCCTGGGCACACTTCTTTGGCTTTTATGGTCAAGGCTGGTGCTCTAACATTTGAGCCACAGCTCCATTTCTGGATTTTTTGGTAGTTAAGTGAGATAGTCTCATGAGGAAGTAGCACTGTGGCTCAAAGTGGTAGTGCACTAGCCTTAAGCAAAAGGGCTTAGAGACAGTGCTCAGGCCCTGAGTTCAAGCCCCAGGACTGGCAAAAAAAAAAAAAAAAAGAACTGTATGGGAGCATTATTGTGTGTGGTCCTTCATTCAAGGCACACCAGTGAACTGTGCAAGCTGAGTGCGCATGTGCGTAGAATGCTCTCTGACAGTGAAGCCAAGTATTTCAGAAACACTTTATAAAAGTGATCTGTGCCAGATGAACGGATCCAAAAATTGTGGTATCTATACACAATGGAATATTATGCAGCCATTAGAAAGGACAAAATAATGGCATTTGCAGGGAAATGGATGGAGCTAGAAGAAATCATGTTGAGCGAGGTAAGCCAAGAGCAAAGAGACAAATGGCACATGGTCTCCCTGATAAGTGGATGTTAAATCCAAAACATAAGTTGATATGACAAAATTAACAAGACTTTAGAAACAAAGGACTTCCACTCATCTGGTCAAATCACTACTAAATAACCCCATGCTGCTGATCACATATATGGTATATATGTGCACACTGGAGGGAAACCAGGAGGATGACACAGAACTAGAGGGAATCAGGGAAAAACATATAACAGTGAGACCCATCAGCTGCACTGGACATTGATCAAAATGAACTAAGCAACTCAATGGCAGCCATGGGAGGGAGGGAACAAGTGGGAAAGAGGGAACAGCTGATGCTATGCAAAACAAAGGAAATGTACATATCACCCGATGTGGAAGAAATAACTGTACTGCAAAGCTCATAGAACTCATACATGTTATAGACCACGACAGATAATTTGCCCCATGAAAGTTAGAATGTGTTTGTGACTTTAACTAAGCATCACTATCCCACAATATTGTGAAATTTGAGAGATTATGTAATCATTTAATCTCAATAAAGAATTTGAAAAAAAAAAAAAAAAGGGACCTGTGCTAAGCATCAATGGCGCATGACTGTAATCCTAGCTACTCAGAGGATGAGATCTGAGGACCCTGGTTTGAGCTAGCCGGGCAGAAAAGTCCATAAGACTCGTTACATATTAACCACCAAAAAGCCAGAAGTGGAGCTGTAGCTCAAGTGATAAAGCTCTACCCTTAAGTAAAAAAAGTTCAAGGACAGTGCCGAGGCCCTGAGTTCAAGCTCCAGGACTAGAAACACACACTAGAAACACACACACACACACACACCAACACACACACTCCCCAAATTACATTTGCTAAGATGAGCTATCCCTCCTTGCCCCACATTTTATGAGGGAGAAACTGAGGCACAGTCTCACTAGTGCAGACTCCAATGGCCCCAGCCCAGTGCTTTCCCTGCTTGGGGTCCTATCAGCCCCATACTGTAGTGGGGTGTGGAGACAGGCAGAAATGTAGGCTTTCCTGTGCAGGAAGCTGCTCTGTGTTAGTTCTATCCAGGTCCATTCCTCCCCCTCTCCTTTTTCCTCCCCTCCTCCCCCTCCTGCTCCTCCTCCTTCTCCCTCTCCTCCTCACCCCAAGCCTGGTCAAGCAAGAATGCCCAGGGGTCTGAAGAGGAAACACAGGTGACACATTCCGGGTACCCAGAAGGACCCCTCCCCCACCATGTGAGGATCAGACCCCCCCAGGTACTCACCCTGATTTTGTCATTCTCTGTCTTGTCCTCTAAATCCTCATCAAATTCCTTTTGGGGGTAAAATTCGATGCCATTTACTTCCAGCTCCTTGCGAACCTAGAGATGAGGAGGAGAAGGTAGTCAGATGTCATAATGGAAAGCTGGGTGTGTTTGTGTGTGCACGTGTGTGTGTGTGTGTGTGTGTGTGTGTGCATGTGCGTGCATACCCTGAAGTCAGAGAGATTAACCCACAGCAATCTATGAACCCTGAGGTCCCAGGCAGCAGGAAGATGCTGAGCAATGCAAGTCCACGCCACCATTACCACAGCCCAGCCTGAGAGGAGAGTCTCGAGGCAGGCTCAGACCCCTAGGCCTTGGGGAAGCCGCACAGCTGAGTCCAGATACCAGTGGGCAGTGCCCAGGGACTGCAGAGGCTTGATGGCTCAAAGCCTCTTCCTTTGCCCCTTTCAAGGTCAAGGTCAAGGTCACCATCTAAGGCCTCTTCTGAGGGACTCCTTTGTTTCATTGTTGGAGACACGGTCTCATTTGCTATGTATCCCAGGCTGGCCTTAAACTTGAAATCCTCCTGCTATTGTCTCCCAAGGGTTGGGATTACAGATACAGACATGCCAGCTTTGATTTCATTTTATTTTATTTGGTGCTGGTACTGGGGCATTGAACTCAGGGCCTGGACATTGTCCCCAAACTTTTTTTTTTTTGGCGGTCATGGGGCTTGAACTCTGGGCCTGGGTGCTGTCCCTCAGCTCTTCAGCTCAAGGTGAACGCTCTACCACTTGAGCCACAGCACCACTTCAAGTTTTCTGGTGGTTCATTGGAGATAAGAGTCTTACAGACTTTCCTGTCCCGGCTGGCTTTGAGCCATGATCCTCAGATCTCAGCCTCCTGAGTAGCTAGGATTACAGGTGTGAGCCACCAGCACCTGGCTCTAATTGTGCTTCTTAAAGGTAGCAAACTGTCTTTACACTTCTTTCCTATCCAATCTCTCCCCTTCCCCAGGGTGTCCAGCTCTGGACTGAGCTAGCCAATACCAGTGAGGACACTGATGAGGACTGAAGAGCAATTAACTGACCAACTAGTCTAGTTTTTCCAGTAACGTTAAATATGGCTCCATGAGCCAGGCACCGGCAGCTCACACCTGTGATCCTAACTACTCAGGAGCTGAGATCTGACGATCACAGTTCAAAGCCAGCCTGGGCAGGAAACTCTGTGAGACTCTTATCTCCAATAAACCATTAGAAAAACAGAGTGGTGCTGTGGCTCAAGCGGTAGAGCGCCTGCCTTGAGCTGAAAAACACAGCAACAGCGCCCAGGCCCAGAGTTCAAGTCCCACGCCCGACCAAAAAAAAAAAAAAATTATTTATATATACATATATACATATATATGGCTCCATGATAGAGTGCTTGCCTAGTTCATGAGGCCCTGGGTTTGATTCCTTGGTACTACATGAACAAGAATAAGGTCATTAAATACATCATCTAAAAAAAAAGTGAGCACTCAGGTTCACAGTAATTCGTGTACCCTGTGATCTTTGTGCCCAGGTACAAAGGATAGGAAGAGGGCAGTCTGGAGCAGAGCCACTTTTGACCTTTGGTCCCCGGGAATCACCAACCCTACTGGGGGAAGGTCAGAGGTGGAAGGGAAGGAGGAAGATGACAGCTACAGAATGGCTTGGACCCAGAGGAAGGGAAAGAAGGGCCTGGGGAGGAAGAAGAGGAAGAGGAGGAGGGAGGGGCCTTCTCACCCTCTGCTTGAATTCAGACTTCTCCTCCGGCGTCATGGTGTCGGCCTTGGCGATGACCGGGATGATGTTCACCACCTTGCTGAGGTGTTTCATGAACTCGAGGTCCAGGGGTCGCAAGCTGGGGCAGGGAAGGCGGGAGCGTCAGAGCCTGCCGGGCCTGCCGGGCCTGCGGGGGCCCTCTGCCTCATGGCCACGCTCAGCCTGCCTTTCCACCAGACGCCACCCTACCTCTTCAGAACACGCCTTTTCTTTTGTTTGTTTGTTTGTTTTTGTGCCAGCAGTGGGACTTGAACTCAGAGAACTCGGGACCTGAGTGCTCACTGTCCATGAGCTTTTTCACTCAAGGCTGGCGTTCTACTACTTGAGCCACAGCTCCATTCAGGCTTTTCTGGGGGATTCATCTCAAATTGGAGATAAGAGTGTCATGGATTTTTTTTTTCTGCCTAGCTGGGCTTCAAACCACAGTCTTCAGATCTCAGCCTCCTGAAAAGCTAGGATTATAGGCGTGAGCCACCAGCTCTAAGGACTTTCCATCCCCCAGTCTGAAGGCCCAGTTTGTTGGATTACTAAGTGAAGTTGTCTCCCACCATAGGAAAGGTGAAAGAAGAATAAAACCTATACTCTCTTGAGATCCAGGACTGGCCCAGAGTTCTTCTGTCCTACCTCTTCTCCCTCCCTGCTGGACACCAGCTGCATGCTGAATTCCTCCATCCGCTTACAAACTGAGCTTCAGTCACAAGATGTAAGGAAGGTCACTTAAAATAGCATTGGAAGCTAGGTGCCAGTGGCTCATACCTGCAATCCTAGCTTCTCAGGAGGCTGAGAGCTGAGGATAATGGTTCAGAGCCAGCCCTAGCAGGAAAGTCTATGAGATTCTTATCTCCCATTAACCATCAGAAAACCAGAAGTGGTGCTGTGACTTTAAGTGATAGAGCACTAACCTTGAGCAGAAGATCTCAAGGACAGCACCCAGGCCTTGAGTTCAAGCCCCAGGATCAGTGCAAAAAAATAAAAACTTAGGGGCTGGGAAGGTGGCTCAGTGGTAGAGCGCTTGCCTTGCATGCCTGAGGCTCTGGGTTCGATTCCTCAGCACCACATAAGCAAAAAGAAAAAAGCTGGAAGTGGCGCTGTGGCTCAAGTAGTACAGCGCTAGCCTTGAGCTGAAGAGCTAGGGACAGCACCCAGACCCAGAGTTCAGGCCCCACGACCGGACCCCCCCAAAAAAAATTATATAGCGAGAGAGATAGAGAGATAGATATAGATATAGCATTGGATTCTCTGACTTCTACCTTTTCCTATTGTCTGTCATAGAGCCCACCTGCTACTCAGCCTGAGTTTCCAGCACATTCTGCCAGGGTCAGCTTTCATCTCTAGACACCTATAGCTCCTCCTGCTGGGCTGGCGACCTTCTAGTTACTGGTGGCAGGGTCCCCTAGCCTACCAAGATACCAGCCCCCCCTCTGTTACCCCTCTTACTGCTCCCAGGCCCTGAGCCTTTTGAATAAATGAATATCCATGGCTTACCTACACCAACTTTTCTCAGCTGGTTCAGCCAGCCTATGCTGGGACACTAGTAGGTAATATAGGAGCTGACGCCAGGCAGTTTTTACCATCCCACCAAGCAAACCTGACATTCTTGTGAAAATCCTGGGGAATCACAAGGTCACGGGGGTCATGACTATATTCTGGCCCCTGGCTGAGAGTGACCCTTGATCATCCAATCCAGCATAGGCCTGGATGACACACCCCGGAGCCAGGCACAGTGCGGGAGGGGCTGATACGTACGAGTGTCCTGTGGGCGAGATGAAGTAGAGGCAGCAGTGGATTCGAGTGTCAGGGATGCGTTTCTTCCTGGCGATATTCACCTCCTCCTTCAGGAACTTCTCATACTGCTCGTTGATGTACTTCTCGATGGGCTCCCAGCTGATAGGGCAGAAATAAAACGTCTTAGAGGGATCCAAGCCAAGGAGCAGCTCTTTAGACAATCCCTTTCCTCCAGCTCAGGTCCTTGGCCAGGCTAGGACACCTGCTGGCTGATTCTCCCTTAGTCCCTTCCCTCCTCGATGGATGGCTCTCCATGGATGGTTGGGTTGGTAAGGGCAAAATTTCCCCAGGAGACCCAGGCCCTGCCCAGGCTCCAGGGACCTGCAGAGAATGGCAAAGGTGAGGGAGGCACCAGGTTCCTATCTTCCTGGCAGAGTGTTTAGGGCTGAAATCTCAGTGGCAGATATACCAGTTCTCATTGTTGATCTGGTCTCCAAAGCCCGGAGTGTCAATGACCGTCAGCTTCATTTTGACACCACCTTCCTCAATCACTGGGGGACAAACAGAAAGGGTGTCAGACAGGTCAGATCAGTTCTACAGCTGGTCCCAATGTCCTGCAGCCCCTGGCCAGGGGACACTTAGGGACTTTTCTGATTGGAAAAGTCAAGTTATTGTTTTTGTGTTGGTTAGCTGTGGGGCTTGAATTCTGGGCCTAGGCACTGTCCCTCAGCTCTTCACCTCAAGGCTACTGCTCTACCACTTGAGCCACAGGGCTACTTCCGGTTTTCTGGAAATAAGTGTCTCACAGACTTTCCTGCCCGGGCTGACTTTGAACCACGATCCTCAGATCTCAGCCTTCTAAGTAGCTAGGATTATAGGTGTGAGCCACTGGTGCCCAAGCCAGAAAAGTCAAGTTTCATGGTCTTCCCTGACTCAGTGGCTTTGCTCACGCTGTCCTCCTCCCCCCTACACACACATACACACACACAGGTAGAGAGCCCTCCCTACTTCCTTCTATTATACTACCTCTGTCTAAATCCTATCTGGCCCTTACCACCCAGCCAACTCAAGACCTACTTCTTCCTGTGCTAGGCCCACCCATCTTTCTTGAACTAGCAGGCTGAGGGTCTTGCTACATTAGGGTTTGGGCTTAATTCCACTCTGCCTTGAAGTTGTTTGTTGCATGTCTTTTCCCCCAAGAGACCCTGTTCCAGCTGGGCACCAGTGGCTCATGCCTGTGATCCTAGCTACTCAGGAGACTGAAGTCAGAGGATTGTGGTTCAAAGTCAGTCCAGGCAGGAAAGGTCACAAGACTCTTTTCTCCAGTGAACCACCAAAAAGCTGGAAGTAGAGCTGTGGCTCAAGTAGTAGAGCACCCAGCCTTGAGGGAAGCTTCAGTACCATCCCTCTCTCTCTCTCTCCCTCTCTCTCTCTCTCTCCCTCACACACACACACACACACACACACACACACACCAGCATGCCCCTTGTTGGCACAAGCCGGGGCCCCCACCTCCTCCTCACCATGCCCGATAGCTTTGATCTCCACCGTCTTGGGGATCTTCTCCTCCCGGTTCCAGCTGGAGGCCTTCCGGCTCACCTGGCACTTGAAGAGCGTGTTGACCAGCGTTGACTTGCCCAGCCCACTCTGGCCTGCAGTAAGGCAGAGGAGGAAGATGGGGACCACACCCACCCTGGAAGTGCCCCACTCTCCCTCCGGCCTGCGGCGTCCCTCAGTCCCTCTGGCTCGAGCCAGCCCAGCCTTGGCCCGGCCATAGGCAGCAGATGGAAACAGCTTCCGCCTTCCTGGCGAGGATCTCACCATTCTGACTTCTCTCCTTCCTTGGGAGAGGGAACAGCTTCTCTGTCTGTCTGACAAGTTTGGGGTTTTTTGGTTTGTTTTCCTTGACGTAAGGTTTTGTCTCGTGGGGTATTTTTTTGGCAATAATAGAGTCTGAACTCAGGACACTGCCCTCGATAGGCAAGCACTTCGTTACTTCAGCCACGCGCCCAGCCCTCTTTTTGCTTTATTTTTCAGATAAAGTCTCACATTTTGCTCACAACCAGCCTCCTCCTACCTACGATCCTTCTACCTATGACTCCCAGTAGCTTGGATTGCAGGCATGCAGCACTACGTTCTGTTTGTTGGTCGAGATGGGTTCTTGCTACCTTTTTTCCCTGGGCTGGCTTTGAACTTCAAGCATTCCAATATCTACTTCCCAAGTGGCTGGGATTACAGGCATGAGCCACCACACCAAGCCATCCATCTTTAATCAGACTAAAGTATTCTGACACTGCCTGAGCACTTTCACATCTGTTAGCAAAATCTATCTTTATATCGGCCCTGTAAGTCCCACAGCAGAGCTATCTTTATCCCCAGTTGAGATGGCCCTGGAGCGATGAATCCTCTTCCAACATAACATGCATAGTCCCAGCAAGTCCAGGGACCCGAATCTCAAGGACCACTCTTTATTCTAATACAGTGGTTTGTCAATTGTGCCCCCAGAAGACCAGAGTGCTGCTAAAAGTCTGTGGCACAGTGGGTACCATGAGAAGGGCAAGCAGGACCACAGCGCCCGCCTCTGCGTCCTCCAACCACGCCAAGTCTGTGACCGAGCACTTTTCAAGGAGCAGTTCCACAGCTAGCATGCACTTGAGAACTGTGCATCCCAGCAGAGCCTCTCAAACTAGCACACCCACGCATCACACCAGAAAGCCTTGCAAGGAACAAGAGCCCTGGCACCGCCAGATTCTATAGAAAACATCCCTCCCCAGTCCTACGGCCTAGCAACTGCAGTTTAACTGGAATTTCAGAGGACTCAGATAGACAGCAAACCCAAGAGGTGCTGGTCTATTAGGAAAAAAACAAAAAACAAAACAAAAAAGACCAGGTAGAAAGAAAGGCAAGCACCCAGGTTCTATCCAGCTGTGGTCCTGTGCCTGACTGCCCTTGACCAGCTGTTCTCATCCCCGGGTCTGAAATTCCTTTACAGATAGGAATGTGAAGAGGGAAGAAATGGCCAGAGGCCAGGATGGTAAACAAGGTGCATTTCTCATTCCTCCTGATGAGCTGATGAGGCCACTTGGATGATTGTTAAAATGGCTTTGTCTGCACTCATTACTGAACACAGCCACGTGACCAGCATTGTCTGCCACTAGCACCCAGAGAAGTGGCCGCGTATCTTCTTCTACAGGCTGAGCGTCTCTAATCTGAAAGTGAGAAATCTGAAATGTCCCAAAATTGGAAAATTTCTTGCATACTGACATGACTTGGGAACTGTTAAGATTTCAGAGTAGGAATCAGCCAGGAATGGCCATGGAAACATTCCAAAATACAAAGAAAAAAAAGCCGGGCGCTGGTGGCTCACGCCTGTAATCCTAGCTACTCAGGAGGCTGAGATCTGAGGATCGCGGTTCAAAGCCAGCCCGGGCAGGAGAGATCGTGAGACTCCTATCTCCAATAAACCACCAGAAAACCGGAAGTGGCGCTGTAGCTCAAGTGGTAGAGCGCTCGCCTTGAGCTGAAGAGCTGAGGGACAGCGCCCAGGCCCAGAGTTCAAGCCCCACGACCGACAAAAAAAAAAAAAAAAACAAAGAAAAAAAAAAGGAGAGTTGGGAAGGTGGCTCAGTGGTAGAGCGCTTGCCTTGCAAGCATGAGGCCCTGGGTTCGATTCTTCAGCACCACATAAGCAGAAAAGGCCAGAAGTGGTGCTGTGGCTCAAGAGGTAGAGCGCTAGCCTTGAGCTGAAGAGCTGAGGCACAGTGTCCAGGCCCAGAGTTCAGGCCCCACAACCAGAAAAAAAAAAAAAAATCAGAATACTTCTAATCCCAAGTATTTTGGATAAGAGATAGATACATAGCCTGTATTTGCCACTCTTGGCCTAGAATGTTTAATAAGGTCTTTTGTCCATCAAGTATATTGATATAACTATAGCTATAGATATAAAGATATATATTTATATATAGTGATGCTTTGATTATCAAAGTTCTTGGAATTAAGCCTATAATTACAGTTACTCAAAAGGCTGAGATCTGGGGATCACAGTTCAAAGTGAACCCAAGCAGGAGAATCCATGAAACTCTTATCTTCAGTTAACCACAAAACGCTGAACCTGGAAGTATGGCTCAAGTGGTAGAGTGCCAGCCAAACTAGAGGTACCAGCACAAACAACAACAACAACAAAACAATGATAATAACAATATAGCAAACTAAATTCACAGGATTTATATTCATGTACAAAATTGCAGACATAGGGCTGGGAAGATGGCTCAGTGGTAGAGTGCTTGCCTTGCATGCCTGAGGCCCTGGGTTCGATTCCTCAGCACCACATAAGCAAAAAGAAAAAAGCCGGAGGTGGTGCTGTGGCTCAAGTGGTAGAGCGCTAGCCTTGAGCTGAAGAGCTGAGGGACAGCGCCCAGGCCCAGAGTTCAGGCTCCACGACCAGACCCCCCCCCAAAAAAAAAAATTACAGACATATACTAATGAGAGATGCTCCCTGAGAAGAATTGCAAGCAAGGAAGAAATATAAAGAAAGAGAAAGAACTACAACCAGATGGGGTGGCTCATGCCTATAATCCTAGCTATTCAGAAACTTGAGCTCTAAGGACTATGGTTTGAAGCCAGCTTCAGGCAGGAAAGTCCATGAGATTCCTATCCCCAATGAACCAGCAAAAAAAAAATGAACCAGAGCTATGGCTCAAGTGGTAGAAAGCCAGCCTTGAGCAAAAGCGCTCAGGGACAGTGCCTGGGCCTTGAGTTCAAGCCCCACAATGAAAACAAAAACTGAGATTGTATCTTTTTTGGGGGGAGAGGGAACAGTACTGAGATTTGAACTCAGGGTTTGTGCTTGCTAGGCTGGCATTCTACTCCTGTGCCATACCTCCACCCCTGTTTTTCACTGGCTATAAGAATAGGGTTTCAGTACCAAGCCAGCATTAAGCATTCTTGATTGCCAAATGCTGCCCTAGAATGGATGTGTTCAAGGCGTTGTTCAGTGTGAGGGAGACCTAAATATAAATAGCCAGTTACAATATGTTAAGAGTACACGCCATAAAGAGATAACCACAGGGCACTGTAACAGAACGGCAAAGGGAATCTCTCTGACATCAAGGAAGACAAGGAGGAAGCAACATGAAGCAGAGACCTAAAGGCTGACTTCCTATGAACCAAGCATGGTGACACATGCCTAAATGCCACCACTTACATGTTTGAAGCAGGAGGGTTCCATGTCCCAGGCCAATCTATGTGGGCTACATAATACAACCCTGTCTCAACACAGGGTATGTATCTCAACTCACAGGTCGGGTATGGTGAGTCACACCTGTAATTCCAGCTCAGGAGGTAGAGGCCAGAGCAAGCCTGGACAAAGTTAGGAAGCCCCTATCTCAAAAGCAAAGCAAAAACAAAAGAGCTAGGGTCGGGGTGGCATGTGAGAGGCCCTGGGTTCAATCTCCAGTACCATACACACACAAAAAAAAAGACAACAGGGCTGGAAAGATGGCTCAGTGGTAGAGTGCTTGCCTTGCATGCATAAGGACCTGGGTTCGATTCCTCAGCACCACATAAGCAAAAAGAAAAAAGCCGGAAGTGGCGCTGTGGCTCAAGTGGTAGAGCGCTAGCCTTGAGCTGAAGAGCTGAAGGACAGCGCCCAGGCCCAGAGTTCAGACCCACGACCAGACCCAAAAAAAAAAAAAAAAAAAAGAATATTGAGTTTGGCACTGGTGGCTCTCACCTGTAATCCTAACTACTCAGGAGGCTGAAATCTGAAGATCATGGTTTGTCAAAGCCAGCCCAAGTAGAAAAATCCCTTCCCTAATACCCAGAGAGGACCAAATCCCTGGAAAATTTCTTAAAGCTTTAAAATACCACAGAAGATCAGAACTACCAAGCACCAGTGGCTCACACCTGTAATCCTAACTAATCAAGAGGCTGAGATCTGAGGATCATTGTTCAAAGCCAGCCTGAGCAGGAAAGTCTGTGAGTCTCTTACCTCCAATTAACTACCAAAAGCTGTTAAGTAGAGCTGGGCCTCAAGTGGTAGAGCATCAGCCTTGAGCAAAAAAAAAAAAATGCTAAGCAAAAGCGTCAGGGCTTTGAGTTCAAGCCTCAGTACTGGGATGTATGCGTGCACGCGCGCGCGCACACACACACACGCGCTCTCACACACAGTACTAAAGCATTACAAAAGATCAGGAAGAAGACTGGGGTGGGGAGGGGTACTTCACGTGATAGAGCACTTGCCTAGCTAGGGCAAGGTTCTGAGTTCAATCTGTATCAATTACCAAAACAAGAAAAAAGAAAAAACTCTGGAAGGGCTGGGGATTCTCCCACACTACCAACCAAAGAGCAGGTGGAGTGCTGAAGAGGCCGCCTGCCTACACACAGCTGGAGGCGGAGTCAGGCTCAGCAGACCACAACCTCCCTCCTAGAATGAGCTCGCCCTAGAGAACCCAGGGCCAAGGCCATCCTGGTGCTGCCGGCCGCAGGTGCTCAGTGACCCCTTGCCCTCCATACCAACAACCATGATGTTGAAGTCAAAGCCGGTCTTCATGGTCTTCTTGCGCATCTGCTCGATGATGGTGTCGATGCCTATGTAGCCCAGGAGGTTGGAGTTGATGCTGACGGGTTTCATGGGCACTGCCGGCTTAGGCCTGGGCTCAGGCACCAGCTCTGACATGGCTGCGTCCGTCCTGGTCTCTGGGAGCCCTGCAAAGTCATGGGGCGGAGAAACAGAAGGGGAGAGGAAGGAACCAAGGTCACATGAAAAGGGTAATATTTTTCTTTTTTTTTCTTTGCTTTTCTTCCCTTTTTTGGTGCCAGTATTAGGACTTGAACTCAAAGCCTCACCCTCTTGTTGGGTTTTTTCACTCAAATCTGGTGCTCTACCACTTGAGCACCTCTACTTCCTGCATTTTGCTGGGTCATTGGAGATCAGAATCTCACAGATGTCTTCCCAGGGCAGGCTTCAGACTAAGATCCTCGGATCTCAGCCTCTTGAGAAGCTAGGATTATACCTGTGAGTCACAGGTGCCTGACTAGTACTTATCTGTTTGAAGAAACAGAGCAGCTAACTTCTGCAGAAAAACCCTCACCCTAGCCTCTCTTGTCCCCCATGTTCCATGAGTTGCAAAATAGAGGAATGAGCCCCGGACACCCTCCTAACCATACATTTGAGTCTGTGGGACCGCTGGTAGGAGATGGGACCAGAATGAGGTCAGTCGATTGCCCAAGGTGGCAACACTCTAAAAATGGTAGGTAGCCGAAGGCAGAGGCTGGAACACAGACTATCCAAGGAAGGGAAGAGACAAAGGTGCCTGTAGGACATGTAGATCACAGGTGTGTTCACACACAGGTGAAATCTATAGTTATCAGGCCACTGTCCACCAGGGTAGGTTTGAGACTAGAGGGACTCCATTTTCCCCATCTACAAAATGGGTACACGGGATGGTATGCTCTGAATAAGAGCTGTCTGTCCCCCACAGGCTCAAATTTTAAAAAGGTTGATCCCTAGCTGGCAGTGCTATTTTCAGAGGTTCTGGAAACTTTAGGAGGTAAGATCCAGCTGAGGAACTAGGTCATTGGGAGGGAGAGGAGAGGAAGGGTCTTTGTGGAAATATCATTCCTGACCTCTTTCTATCACACTCTCTGCTTTCCTCTTCACCAATAAGCAACGGCTAGCTCTGCTCTGCCCTCTCTCAGGTGTTCCCGCAGCTCCAGTGCTCCCAAGTACCTGAGGCCAAGCAACCATGAACCAAACCCTCCCGAACCACAAGCCAAATAAGTCCTTCCTCCCTTAAATTCTGCATGCCAGGTATTTTGTGGCAGCAACAAAAAAAAAAAAGCTTTAGAAGTCAAAAGAGCCTGGCCCTGCTCTGTGCAGCCTTGGGTCCCCCCCTCCCACCCCCCCATGGGGAGCGTCCTGGGTCTAGGTTCACTGCTTGTCTGGATCACCTGGACACACGTGGGGAGAAGAGGCGCCCCAGATGCTCATTTCACACGCTACTGTTGGACTCCGTGCTCTTCTGAGGATGCCTTCTAGCTTTGCCATCGCTCTGCAGATTCTTACCCTTCCTGGGGAGGCCTGATGGAGCCGCAGATGGACAAGGGGGAGAGGGTGGCTCATGCTAGCAATCTGAGCTTCTCATGAGGCTGAGATCTAAGGATCATGGCTCAAAGCCAGCTCAAGCGGGAAAGTCTGTGAGACTCATCTCCAGCTCTTATCTCTAATTAACCAGTTAAACACACACACACACAATAAAAAACAAACAAACCAGAAGTGGAGGTATGGCTCAGTTGAAGAATACCAGCCTTGAATAAAAAAGTTCAGGAACAGGCCGGGCACCAGTTGCTCACACCTGTAATCCTAGCTACTCAGGAGGCTGAGATCTGAGGATGACAGTTCAAAGCCTGGGCAGGAAAAGTCTGTAACACTCTTATCTCCAGTTAACCACCAGAAAACTGGAAGTGGCGCTGTGGGTCACTGTAGTGTGTAGTGCTGTGGTAGCGCACTAGCCTTGAGCTGAAGAGCTGAGGGACAGTGCCAGGGCCAAAGTTCAAACCCCACAACTGACAAAAATAAATAAATAAATAAAGCAAGCAAGCTTGGGGACAATGCCCAGGCCCTGAGTTCAAGCCCCAGGACCAACACCAAAAAAAGAATAAGTAAATAAAGAGGGAGAGGAACAGGAGCGCCTCCCTACACCCTTCTTCAAGCACAGCCAGGTGTCTGCTCTGTGCCCCTTCCCGCACACCCGCTCCTCTCCCGGCGGGAATCTGTTCTTCCCCAAGGTTCCCAGGCACAGCCAAATCTGACCAAGCCTTGGAACTTCCCCAGGGCCTGGCACGGCGTCCTCTTGCTTCCCAGGAAGCTGTTGCCAGCGAGGCGGCTCCGGAGGGCAGCGAGGTTGGCTGGGGCCTGAAGCAGCTGACTCTGGCAGCCTGGCCCTGCTCCCCTACCTGCACAGGCTCAGGCCGCAACCCCCACCCCTGCACTAGATCCCGTGCCCGCTCCCCTGCGCTGCCCACACAGGCCAGGCCTCCCTCTTGCCCTCACACCTCCACAAGCTGAGCCCATTTGGTCTCCAGGCTGTGCTGTGCGTGCATTCACCCCGACGCGCTGTTCTTGCTTCTGTTTTACAGACCTGGAAACGGAGGCTGGTATTTCTCCAGGGGAGGGAGGATTTCAAAGTAGTTTATAAAGCATGTGTCCTCACCATGGCCTGGCCAGCCCTGGCCTGGCACGTGCAGCACCCTAAGAAAACACTCTCAGAAGTGGGGGGCAGAGTGCCAGTCTTGAGCAAAGAAGCCAAGGGAGAGGATGAGGCCTCGAGTTCAAGCCCCATTACCAGCACAGAGGAAGGGAGGAAGGGAGGAAGGGAGGGAGGAAGGGAGGGAGGGAGGGAGGGAGGGAGGGAGGGAGGGAAAAGGAATGTGCTCAGCACTAGCAGCTTATGCCTTTAATCCTAGTACTAAAGAGGTTGAGATTTGAGAATCATGGTTTGAAGCCAAAGCTGGGCAGAAATGTTCCTGAGACTCCTATCTCCAACTAACCACCCAAAAAAGCTGGAAGGGGCTGGGAAGGTGCCTCAGTGGTAGAGCGTTTGCCTTGCATGCCTGAGGCCCTGGGTTCGATTCCTCAGCACCACATAAGCAAAAAGAAAAAAGCCAGAAGTGGCGCTGTGGCTCAAGTGGTAGAGTGCTAGCCTTGAGCTGAAGAGCTGAGGGACAGCGCCCAGGCCCAGAGTTCAGGCCCCATGACCGGACCCCCGCCCAAAAAAAAAAAAAAAAAATGCTGGAAGTGTCACTGCAGCTCCAATGGTAAAGCGACAGCCCTGAGTGAGAAAGATAAGGGACCACACCCAAGCCCTAAGTTCAAGCCTCAGTACTCACACACACACACACACACACACACACTCAGACTCCCAAAAGACAGATCCTGATTATGCAAGGAAACTGAACGTCTAGGGGCTAGCCTAACCCCGCCAAGCCTATGCTTAATGTCAAGGACATTTTTATGCCCAGACAAGGTCATTACCCCCAAGCTCTCCACTGGCTAGTGAGGGTGCCTAACAAGGACACGGAGACCTGGAGGGCACAGAACAAATGCTACTCTGGAGTTGGACTTTGTAGCTCCATCCTCTGCCATACAGCAATATGGTCCCAACAGAACAACTTCGGTAGATCAGCTGACTGAGGCTCGAATTCTAGCTGGATGGCTGCTACAAGACTGATTTCTTCCCAAAAATGTAGGGATAGGAACCTGCCTTTTGGGTAACTGTGAAGGTTATTCAAAACCATGAATATAAATTACCTGGCACTGCCAGGCACTGGTGGCTCACACCTGTAATCCTAGCCACTCAGGAAGCTGAGATCTGAGGATCGTGGTTCAAAACCAGCCCAAGCAGAAAAAAGTCCATGAGACTCTTATCTCCAATTAACCAACAAAAAGCCAGAAGTAGAAGCGTGGCTCAAGTGGTAGACTGCTAGCCTTGAGGGAAAAAGCCAAGTGAGAGTTTGAGGCCCTAAATTCAAGTCCAAGTATTGGCACGCATGTGTGTACACACACACACACACACACACACACACACACACTCCTCACTGGACACTATGTTGATAATGAACTATACAGCTTATGGGTGGAAACAGGAAAGAAAAACTGGGGGTGACATTGTCCATAAAGAAATGTACTCTTTATCTGATCCATGTAACTGTAACCCCTTTGTATATCACCTTTACAATAACAATTTTTTAATGTTTAAATTACCTGGCACTGAGTATTGGCTGGTTTCATCTCTAGGCCCCCTGTACCTGGCATACTGCAGGCACTAAGCCATGAATAAATGGATGATGAATGAATGAATGAATGCCACACAGCAAGGTGGGGTCACTTCAAACATCTTCCTCTTCCTCAGATGCTGCACCGGGGGCAGAGCAGCTGGCTGACCTGAAGGCCAGCACACAGCTGTAGAGCCCGCCCCAGCCAGGGCAGGTATACTTGCTAAGAAAGGCCTCCTCCCTCTCCTGCAACAGAAATTGGGGGAGGGGGTCCCCAAGGGTGGAGAAGAGCTCAAGGTGGGGGTCGCCGCAGACTGCAGTTCAAATATGCCATCCTGGCTGGATGAGTCCCTGGGGCCTCTGCTAAGCTCCCAGTTCAGGACCCCGGGAGAAGAGAACATTTGTGTGTGCGCCCCCCACCCTGCCCGGAGCCCCCTGCCCCATCCCTGGCTCCAGGAAGACAGGGTCTGTCAGTCTGTCTGTCTGACTCAGCTCGGGCGCTATTCTCCTGCCCGCAAATGAATGGCTTTGTCTGTGGCCCACTGACCCCACCCCTCGGTTGGGAAGGTGGCAGTGGGAGGGGGTCTTTCTAGAAGAGCGAGCACCTGCCTCCCTGGCTTAGTGCTGGCCTCCCCCTTTCTTCTCCCTCAAGCTGGAGCAGGGAGGGGTCTTCCCCAGCCCCATCCCAACCCCAGACCCCAACAGTTTTCCACACTCCATCACTACAGGGACAGAGGTCATTCCAGTCCAGCCCAGTTCTGCCCCGGATCGCTCACAGACGTCTTAGTTCTTTCCCTATTTTGCAGGAGCAATGGGCCCTGGGTCACCCCCTTCCCCCGCCCCTAGTCCGGAGGAGGCCAACGGGGCTCCCTGGAGACCACCAGCGGGTGCCCGCCTGGGCCGGCGGCTCGCCTGCACGGGGAAGGGGCCCGTGTGTCAGCACACCGCTCCCGCGTCAGCTGTAGGTGCGCAGGTGCGTGCATGTGTGTGTGCCCATGTCGGTGTGTGCGTGCATGCATGTGTGCGTGCATGCATGTGTGCATGCACGCGTGCGCAAGTCCAGCGCTCCAGCCGGGAGCTTTCTCCGGAGTCTGGCTCCCTCCGCCCGCGGCCGCGCGTCTCCGCCTCTCTCCCCGGCTGTCCCTTTAACCGAGCGGGTCTCCAGGTGTGTGCCGCGCGCGTCCACGCACGTCACGGCGCGTGGGCTCCGGGCGCACCCCTCCCCCGCGGCAGCCGGCCCGGGCCCATCGGGGGGCGCGCGGGCCCAGCCCGCATCCTACCTTTGGACATGAATCCTCCTTTGTCTCCGCTCCCCGGGAGATGCTCAGGGCGCGGGGCTGCCGGGCTGCGCGGGGCGCGGGCTCCCGGGCCGAGCCGCCCCACAGCCGGGCCGAGCCCCTCGGCGCTCTCCGCCCACTCCGAGCGCCCGACCCCGCCGCGCCTCCCCGCGCCCCGCGCCCGCCGGCCCGCCGCGACCTCGCCGCCTCCGCTCGCTCGCCGGGCGCTGCGCTGCCCCTGCCCGCGCGCCGCCGCCGCCGCCGCCGCCACCCGCACCACGTGACCCGGCCCGGCCCCGCCCCTTCCCGCGGCGCCCGCGCCCGCACGCGCCGGCGGGCACCGGGCTGGGCTGCGGCGGCGGCGGCGGCGGGGCCCGGGGCCGGGGGTGTGGGGCGCGGAACCCACGCGCCTGGCTGCGCGGAGCGCCCGCATCTCAGCCCCATCCTCGGATCCCGTCCCCAGCCCCTCCCTCCCGGGACCCCCCTGCCTGACCCCCAGCCCCTCCCTCCCGGGACCCCCTGCCTGACCCCCACCCCCCCATCCTGGGACCCCCACCCCCTCCCTCCCGGGCCCCCAGCCTGACCCCCACCCCCTCCCTCCCGGGCCCCCCAGCCTGACCCCCACCCCCTCCCTCCCGGGACCCACAGCCTGACCCCCACCCCCCCCATCCCGGGACCCCCACCCCCTCCCTCCCGGGACCCCCACCCCCTCCCTCCCGGACCCCCAGCCTGACCCCCACCCCCCCATCCCGGGACCCCCAGCCTGACCCCCACCCCCTCCCTCCCGGGACCCCCCAGCCTGATCCCCACCCCCCCATCCCGGGACCCCCAACCCCTCCCTCCCGGGACCCCCACCCCCCTCCCTCCCGGGACCCCCAGCCTGACCCCCAGCCTGACCCCCACCCCCTCCCTCCCGGGACCCCCAGCCTGACCCCCAGCCCCTCCCTCCCGGGTCCCCCAACCTGATCCCCACCCCCTCCCTCCCGGGACCCCCCACCCCCTCCCTCCCGGGACCCCCAGCCTGATCCCCACCCCCTCCCTCCCGGGCCCCCCAGCCTGACCCCCACCCCTCCCTCCCGGGCCCCCCAGCCTGACCCCCACCCGCTCCCTCCCGGGACCCCCAGCCTGACCCCCACCCCCTTCCCGGGACCCCCAGCCTGGCCCCCACCCCCCCCCATCCCGGGACCCCCAGCCTGACCCCCACCCCCTCCCTCCCGGGACCCCCAGCCTGACCCCCACCCCCCTCCCTCCCGGACCCCCACCCCCTTTCTCCCAGGCCGCAGCCCCTCCCTCCGGGGACCCCCTCAGCCCCTCCCTCCCGGCAGCCCCTCCCTCCCGGGACCCCCAGCCCCTGCCTTTCGGACTGCCGGTCAAGACAGTTGGGGTTTTCCCCGTAGGCGTGAAAGCCCAGAGGGCCCTGAGCCAGGGGCCCAGGTTCCAGGCCCAAATCTGGTCTGGGATGATCAACCCTAAAACCTTCAACTAGTCAGGAACTAATCTGAGCCTCAGTTTACCGAACAGACAAACCATCCATGCTTTAGGCCAGGTAAATACACAGAACAGGGTGGAGGCTGAGGGCGACCATCTGCCCGCGGGGAACAGGTCTGGTGGAGATAACAGGAGGCTGGGGCAGTGTGCAAGTCCTGGCAGTGTGCAGGGGGTCATGCAGGGGGCAAACCCTGAGGAGAGAGGAGCTGTGGAGGACTTCGAAGGGGGAGAGGAAGAATAGGAGGGCATGCTGCACAGGGGCAGGAAGCCTGGAGGGGGAGGCTGGGGAAGTGAGCGGTCTGAGAAGGCAGGCAAAGGGCTGGACTTAGGGGAGGGTAAGGGGGACACAGGCCTTGAGTGCTAAGCTTCAAGTTCTGCCAGCACCGGAGTCCCTGCGCAGCCCTGTGAGGAGGGAGGAGCTGGGGGAGGGGGAGTCCTGGGAGTCTAGGGATGAAAGAAGACAGACACCTCCAGGTCAAACATGGAGGAGGTAAATGAACAAGATCAAGTAGACTGGATGGGATGTAGGAGAGAGAAAGGAGAGCCCGGATGTTACAAAGGTTGTAACCCCAATAAAAAAGTGGGCAATGGGCAGGATGCTGGTGGCTCACACCTGTCATCCTGGCTACTTAGGAAGCTGAGGTGGGAAGACCACAGTTCAAAACCAGCCTGGGCAGGAAGGTCTGTTATCACCAATTAACCAGCAAAAAGCCAGAAGTGATGTTGTGGTAGAGCACCAGCTTTTAATTTAAAAAGCCAAGCAAGAGTGTTCAATCAGTGGAGCGCTAGTGACTCACACCTGTAATCCTAGCTACTCAGGATCTGAGGATCCTGGTTCAAAGCCAGCCCCGGCAGAAAAGTCTGTGAGACTCATCTCCAATAAACCACCAGAAAAACTGGTAGTGGTGCTGTGGCTCAAGCAGTAGAACACTTGCCTTGAGCTGAAGAGCTGAGGGATAGTGCCCAAGCCCAGAGTTCAAGCCCCATGACCAACAACAACAAAAAGCTAGAAGTGGCACTGTGGCTCAATCAGTAGAGCACTCACTATCTTTGAGCACCAAGAGGCTCAGCACCCACGCCCTGAGTTCAAGCCCCAGAACTGGCCCAAAAAAAAAAAAAATGTTCAAGCACACACACACACACACACACACACATATTAAAAAAAAAGTGGGCAGTGTCTACAACTGAGAGTTAGAGCGAGGGCAGAAGTTGGTTCAGGAAAGAAGAGACTGCCTCTATTGCTGGGAGGCCTCAAGTCAGAATCCAGAAAGCTACTGACTTTCTACATCTATGTTTTATAAGAGCTGGGCTTGCCAGGCTCCAGTGGCTCAGGCATGTCATCATAGCAACTTAGGAGGCAGAGATCTGAGGATCGTGGTTGGAAGCCAGCCCAGGCAGAAAAGTCCATGAGACTTTTTTTTTTTTGTCAGTCATAGGGCTTGAACTCTGAGCTTAGGCGCTGTCCCTCAGCTCTTCAGCTCAAGGAGAGTGCTCTACTGCTTGAGCCACAGCACCTCTTCCGGTTTTCTAGTGGTTAATTGGAGCTAAGAGTCTCACGGACTTTTCTGCCCCGGCTGGCTTTGAACCGTGATCCTCAGATCTCAGCCTCCTCTGTAGGATTACAGGCGTGAGCCTCTGGCGCCCAGCCCATGAGATTCTTATCTCCAATAAACCACTCAAAGAAGCCAGAAGGAGAGCTGTGGCTCTAGTGTTAGAGCATTAGCCTTGAGCAAAAGAAGCTTAGGGACATGCCTGGGCCCTGAGTTCAAGCTCCAGCACACACACACACACACACACACACACACACACACACACACACACACACACACACACACACACGTGCTGGGCCAGAGATAGTGGGAGAGCTGGGGTCAGAGAGTCAAAAGTAAAGACCAGAGCCTGGAGGATAGAGGAGGAGGAGGAGGAGGATGGGATGAGCAAGAGGTCAGCTGATAGGCCAAGTCCCAATTCAGGACTGGACTGGATACTTTCCAACTTCCTTTTCTTTTGTTTCTTTTCTTTCTTTGTATCTTTCTTTTTGCTAGTCCTGAGGCTTGAAGCACTGGGCACTGTCCCTGAGCTTCTTTCGCTCAAGGCTAATGTTCTATCACTTGAGCCATAGCACCACTTCTGGCTTTTTCTGTTTATAAGGTACTGAGGAATCAAACCCAGGGCTTCATGCATGCTAGTCAAGCACTCTACCACTGAGCCACATTCCCAGCCCTCCAACCCCCTTTTCAGACCCAAATCTCTGAGCCTTTGGAATATTAGGAATCAGAGTGTTCAAAGTAGAATTGGAAGGTTTGGATTCCAATCTGCTGACTACCACCAGCCAACTTCGGGGTGACTTCAAGTAGACCACAGCCTCTCTGAGACATCCAAGAAACCCGCAGTCCTTGAGCTGCTGTGTTTAGACATATAAGAGTTCCACAGACTCAGGGTTTCCGACTTAACTTTCAGGACTAAAAAGAGTAGGGATGGGAAACTGAAAACAGGAATTCCAGGCAGGGTACCTTTTAAACAACAGGTATCATTCTAAAAAGCTGTGTGGGATTGGATTCGGAAGGTCTCAGGAAAGACTAGGTGCTGGTGACTCATACCAGTAAACTCTTCAGAAAAGGCTAGAAGTGGCCCTGTGGCTCAAAGTGAGAGAGCACTAGCCTTGAGTGAAAATGCTCACGCCCATCACACACACACACACACACACACACACACACACACACACACACACACACAATGTCTCAGGCAAGGTCAGTGCTACTGTTACTGAAGTGCTGCTCTGTATTTTTCTGCTATAGACTGTCTTGAACTCAGGGCCTGGGCATGATATCCCTGAAGCTTTTTTGGCTCAAGACTAGAGTTCTGTCACTTGAACCACATCTCCACTTCCCACTTTCTTGGTTTGTTTCTGTTTTTCTTTTTCTGTTTTTCTGTTTGTTTCTGTTTTTGTTTTTTAGTTAATTGGAGATAAGAGTCTCACGGACTGGACTTTCCTGCCTGGGCTGGCTTTGAATCACAATCCTGAAATCTCAGCCTCCTGAATAGCTAGCATTTCAGGCGTGAGCCACTGGCACCACAGACTTGCTTTTAAAGCTGGGCTGACCTTCTTATCACCCAATTAGCCTAGGTCTTTGGGGAACCAAAGAAACAACTATGGGAGATGTTCACGGGAGGACTCAGCATAATTCCCTCCCCCAAGTTACTCCCAGAAATCTTCTGATGGTTTCCCTCACCTCTGATAGGCTGGGTCCAGCTGAAGGCCCACCCCCTATGGCCAGCCCCTCCACCTGTTCCCTTTTCTCCCAACCTACTCAATTCAACCCTAAAATCCTCCCTCTGCTTCCCAACCTAGTCAAGCACAATCGGCCAGGATTTTACATCTCATGTCCTCTCCAGCTGACCAACAAATCCCCAGCCAGATGATTGCATTTACCTTTAGATTCTGAACTGGCCAAGTCCAGGGTGGCAGGACTGGTGGCTTGATCTGTGGCAGTCCGTGTTGTGGCATGGTCTGTGCTTCTGTTTGGCATTGGTGGATCGATAGTGATGTGCAATAGTCTCAGGTTATTGACACTGACGCGTTTTGTCCCTTCAGTGGCTGGGTTTGGGCTGATGAGCAAAACTGGGTCCAGGGCTGTGCCAGGCCTGCTTGGGTCCAGCTTGGCTATATCCAATCTGTCTGTGTCCAGCGGGACTGGATCTGGTGCTGCCAAAGCCAGGGCCGTGCCTCCCATGATCATGCATGGCTTGGCTGGGCCTGCTGGAACCACGACTCTTCCTGGCTTGTCTGGGTC